TCAAGTGTGTTTTGATATTTTACATTTCATATAAATGTATTTCTTGTACATATTTACCTTATTTTTTGGTAAAAAAAATATTTATCTTATTTATAGTTATTTAAAACTTACCTTCAGTGTTATATTGGATTTACTTGAGTTTCCCGGATGTATTGATATGTATCTGAATTTTCTACTACATTCATGCCTATCTCTATACATCAATACTTTTAACCTTGGGTAAAAACATGATTTTCAAAATTGGACCAGAAAAATCAGGAACCGATCATTTGACTGATTCCATTTTATCCCAGAATCATTATTTCAGCAAAAATTGTTGATCTAAGCGATCTAACAGTTTTGACTGTTTTTAATTTTTTTATTAGAATGACCATCCATTCAGTTTGAACGGTTAAAGCATTCAACCCATGACCGATTTATTGTCCTATTCGATTTTAAAAACCTTAAATTGGGTGCTGATTGTTAAAAACTCAATTTTCAAATTACAATTTATTAGCATTCAACCCTAGGTTAGCCAATAGCCATTACCGAACACTATCGATACTGTTGCATGGCCACGGGGAATTGATGGGGACACAGAGGGCATTTTTATAAACCGTGCTTCTCTATGGTCAATATCTAATTACCTATACTATAACCATAGGGAGTGTATAAGCTCTCTATGTTTTTTCAGGTTCTTGTTTTTCCTTTCAATCACTTTTCTATTACATGTGACATGTGACATGACTAACCACTACAGTCCACCTCCCGCCCCCTCTCTCTCCGTCTCTCTCTCCTTACTTTTTTCAGTCTATTCTGCTCCATGACAATTTTTCCTTAAAATTCTCTCTTATGGTTATCTCTCCTTTTAGAGTCTTATTACTTTCTCTCACTCCATAAATATATTCTCTTATGATTTTTTTTTATATCTTTACTTTTGTGTTTTTTTTTATGAGTCTACATCTTACGGGTGTTTATATTTGATGTCAAACCAATCACCAAGTCATGCCCATCCAACCTGATTTAGTAAGCATTGCGAGCATAATCTCTACAATTTTAGACTTGTTATACTTAGAAAACTGTTTTTTTCAATAAAATTTTGGAAAGTGGATACATTGGAGACTTGGGGTCTTGCATTTTTGGGACGAGTCAAAGAGAGGTTCCATGCTTTACACTGAATAGGAGTCTTGGAGTTTCAAAGATTTGAATCTTGATTTCTCTTTGGTTCTTCCAATCTTCATTTTCATCCTTCTACTACCTGGTTCACCTACAGCTACAAGTTTGCAACTCTCAAGGCTTCTTTCATCCACCATTACAACTACAAGTGTTGTCATTTTCCTCCCCTCTTTTCAATTCTCATTCTCTCAACTTCTCAAGACTCAAGCATCACATTCATAGGTTAGTATTTTATTTTTTTCTTTAATATTTTTTAAATTTTAACGCATGTTAAATGTTGATATATTTTATTTGAGCTTTGAAAAAAAATCTGGTTATTTATGATAAAAATTAAGGCTCCATTTGGAAGGAGTACAAATACAAATATATAGAGTGCAAAACCTTGTATTTTGTATTATTTTATATCTATTTGTACTGTACATAATTTGTATTTATACTCCTTCCAAACTGAGCCTAAAAATGTAAAACCAATATAAATATAATACAATGGTACAATACTTAATTCAGTTTTGTATAAATTTAAACATATATTTGTACAAAAAATTTCAGTTTTGTATAAAAAGCTAATCTACTTAAATATAAATTTCAGTTTTAATTTAAATATATATTTTATATTTAAAACTGTTAAATATAAATATTTCAGTTTTGCATAAAAACTAAAAAGAAATAAACTTAAATATACATAGATATTTATATAGATATTTTAGTTTTAAATAATAAATATATATATATATATATATATTAGTTTTAAACTGATAAACCGATCCAAACCGACCCTTCATGTTTGGGTCGGTTTTGCTTCATGATTGGTCGGGCAATTGAAGAAAATGTCTTAAACTGACCCAACCCGACACAGCCCTACCGGATTTGCTACTCAGACCGACCTCACAGCATATAACATATAGTACCTGTGCATATGCAAACACAGTCTCCACTAGTACAACTGTATAAATAAAAAAATTAAATTGTCTTAAAGGTGTCTGCAGGCTTTCTGGTAAATTTGGATTTTTCCACTACACTTTTTGACAAAAAAGAAAAGAAAAAGCAGTGCTAGAATTTGTAACATGTGACTATCATTAGTTTCAGCTTGTTTTTAGCAGTAACAAACGATGATTTCAGTTCATTTTTATATTAGAGATTCCAGTTAATACACGACGGGCATTTGTGGTTTGATCGTGTGTATGGTTCTCTTGTGTTGTGTTTGAGCGTAAAAAGCCACTTTACTTGCATTATAAAGCTAAGTATGTGGTTTTGAATGGAAGTTGAATAAAGCAAGGATTATGTAAAGATGATGGATTTTGAATCGGAAACAGACATCATTGGCTGATAAACTGACCTGACGACCGACCACCTGAGCAATATATGCACGCAAAGCTCACAAGCAGCAAGCTTTAACTCCAAAGCAAAGAAGACTCACCAGCTCCATCAACCCTTTTGGTAGGGTCAGACTGCAATTTTTGCACATGTCCTGTGTGTGATGCAAACATCAGTGACCAGGCTCAACGCTTTGTCCTTGAAAGATTCTGCCACTCACTAAGCTATGGCAAAATGCGACGTAATTAATTGTAGCTAGAATTGGGTCACTGGACGTGATGGGTTACAAATGAAAAACAGAAGAAAAGTATATTTGTTGCCATTCGATTGCAACTCAGTGAATGGAAGAGAGATGGTCGGGAAGGGCAGCTATAAGTCTTTTCAGATTTAGCTTATGGAAAAGCACAGACAGATATCTCTTTGTATGTATTTGTTTTGTCGCTTCTACTGACTTTCGCTAATTGAGAAGAAAAGTCTTTTGTTTAATTTGTGGTGGTCTTGAATCTTGATGCGTTCGCCATATATAGAAAGTGATAGAGACAGTTTTCATTATTTTGTTTATTTAATTGGCTTATTTTAAGTGAAAAATATACATCATCATCTTCATTAATTCTTGTTCCAATTATATGGGGTCACTTACATGAATCATTTTTCGCTATTAATCCATATACTCATATATATATTTATCTTTAAATTATAAATACTTAAATCATTTTTTATTACTTTTACTCAAATCTTTATTTATTTATTTTGTTTAAAAAGATTATAGATCTCAATAATATTAATTCATTTGAAACATTCTGAATAATCTATTCAAAGAAATTGAAACAGACAACTCGTTCAAATGACTGATTGACAGCCAATTTGAGCTCTTTGGATTTTTTTCACCAAACATAGCTTATAAGCTGTCCATATAGTCCTGGCCTCGCTGCTGATCCTTAGCCATCCCAAATGGCACTAATTTGTTTGACAAGACTATTTGGATGAACTAAGAACAATGAATTTGGCAGCGGGGACAAAATTAAAACACCAGATCTTGTCTTCTATTTGCAGAACTCTTTATTTCGTGTTTTCATGGTTTATGACACAAAATTATATAATTATTCATTGTCCTCTATAATTTGCCCTTATACACTTATTTATTAGTGATAATCGATTCTCTTACAAAATTTTTGTTAATAACTGTTTCGAGTTTTTCTTCAAAATAACGCGAATATTTGTAACTCTTTCCAATTGCTCTTCAAATTATGAATCCCACCAATTTGATCCAAAAATGATTAACCAAATTGTGTCCTTGGGAAAAAGATGTTGCATTTTCTTCCCACTTTTCCTAGTGCATGCATTCAGGTGTTGAGGGTCAACCCAGGCCAACTCTAAAGATACATACTTTTGGGTTGAGCTTAGCCCAATTTGAGGTCAAGCTTGAGTTTATCAACCCAAACTTAATCTAACACAATTAGAGTCGGTATTGGGTTGGGTCAGGCTGGTTAGGCTGGGCTCACTTGAGCTTTTCGGTGAGTTGGTCAGGTTTGAAAGAATTTATGAATATATTTTTAAGCAATTATCTTTTATTGGGATTTATAGTCTAATTTTGAAGTATAATTTATCATAAATATGTATAAATTTTATTTACAAATATACATCTACATATTTTTTACATGTATGTATAGATATATAATTAAAAAAGAAGACATTTTTTATATGTAGAAGTGCATATATGTATATATTTCTTTGAACAGCCTCAGGGTTGAGTTGGGCTGAACTGTCTTGTTGAGCTTGGGCCAACCAAGGCCTCAATCCAAGACCAACCCAAATTTATCTTAGGCCTAAATTTCTTGCCTGAAACCCAATCCACAGCCCGAAAATTCTGACCCAATCTGTCCAAAAACTTGTGTGGGATAGTGCCAGACTCGGGTTGGGCCCAGCCGAGTTGCAGGCTTGCAGCCCTGGTGCCTTCTTGTCAAACTTAAAGGAGCTTGGATGCCTTCCTCCAGACTTTGATCTATATAATGCATTTGAGATGCTTCAAGCCTCTTGTATAGAGATGAAGAAATGCTTAAAGAGGGCTAGGTCCATTTGAAACCCAAGCTGCTTTTGGGATTTCACCCAACCACTCCCCAAATTGCTTTTTATTATTGTTTAGGAGAAATTCATAAAAAATTAGGTATTCTCCTTATTTTTCTTTCATTTTTTATTTTTTTACTTATAAAGCTAAAATAAAATCTTCTTTTGTTTTCTATTTTTCTATTTATTCTCTTTAATTAATCATTTATCAATTGGGGGTTTTGGACAACATTCATTCCTAAAAGCAGGAAGAAATTATATTTAGGACAACGGGCATAATAACCTCATAAATAAGAAAAATTGGTATGAAAAATCCTGTGCACTATCTTCAGTAATATAGGAAATTGAAATAAAATCACTTTTTTCTTTTTGATAATTTTCCCCAAACAAGTAGAAAAACTAGATGCAAATAATCGTTCTAGAACTTCCCAGAACAGTTAGGAAGGTGCTTCCTGCTTCGCCCATGCGTTAGGTAGTTTGGGAGAGACGTTGAATTTTCCAAGAAAGAGAGTTATCAGACCAAAGACAAATAAGAAGACACGTTATATATCTTGCGACCCAAGCCAAGAGCAAAATCTATATAAATCCGAGCTCCGCACGACCGACAAGGTTATTAGCTTATTAATATACCATCTTCTTCCTTCTAAAACAACCTCTGCAAATTTCTCAGCGTTTCTTCATACACCAATTGCGACAGCGAGAGCTTCATGGCAGGAGGAACAGAAGCATTTCCGGATTTGGGAAGACATTGCCAACACCCAGATTGCCATCAGCTTGATTTCCTTCCGTTTAAGTGCGATGGATGCCGACTGGTATTTCGTTTACCCCCACCTTCTGATGATGTTTTTAACAATATATAGAAGATTGCTAGATATATTTCGAATTGTTTCTTACTTCTCCGAATTTGTCATGTCACAGGTTTTCTGTTTGGAGCACAGAAACTATAAATCCCACGATTGCCCAAAATCTGACCTCAACAGCAGAAAGGTTATAATCTGCAACATCTGTTCGTCATCCATAGAAACGACGGGAAACAGTAAGGAAGACGAGAAGGCCATTTTAGAAAGGCACGAGAGGTCTGGAGACTGTGATCCATCAAAGAACCGTAAGCCCAAGTGCCCAGTCAAGCGTTGCAAGCAGATTCTGACCTTTTCCAATACCAACACCTGTAAAATCTGCAACCAGAAGGTTTGCCTGAAGCACAGATTCCCTGCTGACCACGCCTGCAAACAGGCCGCCTCCTTCCTGGCAGCCGCTCACAGCGGAGGCTCTCCTCCCAATCCCTTCAACAAGTTCTTAGTCGCTTTGTCTGAAAGAAAAAATCATGGTTGCGGTAGGAACAGTAATTCCAAGGGATATTCGGACAACCCAGTTCGCTCCTCCTCATCAGTTAAAGCCTGTTGAATGAACAAATTGATAATTATTATTGATGGATCATTCATTTGTGTTTGGCTCTTAGCTTTTTTTTAATGGTTATGTGATGGTGAATGGCATGTTGCTCCACATCCCACATCGTCTAGGGGTGGATGTTTGAGGAGACGAGATTAGTTATAAATACAGCATGGTTCAATGGGGAGAGACATCTTTGCGCTTGGGGCAATGACGCAGCTAGTGAGGTTATAACCGAGGCGCGTCAATTGCCGGTTGAAAACTATTTCCAAACCCCCTCTTTGGTCTGGGTCTCTCCCTGCCATTGAGAATTTCTGGAAGTTCTCCCTTCGGGGTAAAAGCCTAAAACTTAGTTCAAAACTTGTTTTGTTATCAATGTAGAATAGTCTTCGTTTGTCAGTTTAAATTCGGACAATTAGACAAGGAATTTTTTTAAAGTAGTTTAAAGAAGTGAATCGAAGGATTTTAGTTTTTATGGACCTTATACCAATATAAATTTCAGTTTGATAACTTCTATGAAAATTTTGAAATTTCAATTTATTAATATTGATCTTAAGCACAATTGCAACCGAAAAAAAACTCAATTTGACTCTTAAGCACAATTGCAACCGCAAAAAAACTCAATTTGACTCTTAAGCACAATTGCAACCGCAAAAAAACTCAATATTGATCTTTACAATTTGACTCTCAAGCACAATTCATTAGAAAAATCACCGTCAAAAAACTCAACTGCTTCCACAGTTGCAACCGCACCACTTCTCTCCACAACACTTGACGACTTCGTACTTTAATAATATTGATCTTCAGCACATTACCCCAAATAATCTGTTGCAATATTTGCCTTTTGGAACTTATGGGGCTGCAAACGAATCAAAATCCAATCGAATAGTGGTGATAGGTCCAAATTTGATTTGTTTTTGATCGAATTTGAATCAGATGATGTCTATCTATTGGATATCTAGCAGCTTCAAATTGAATTAGGATCATAATCAAATATTAAATAAATTAATATAAAAAAATAAAATTAAAAATGATCAAAACATTATTTATTATTAATAAAATGAACTAATATTATATTTCATGAACAAAATGAATTGAAAATTATTTGTATGAACCTTGAACCCATGTTAAATACAAGAACCAGACCAACTTTACTAACAACCTAAATTAAATTTCACATATATAATACGAGTATATATTTTCAAATTGAATAAAGTCCGATCGGATAGGAGCGGATCCATATTTGATCCAATTATATACAGAACGAATTCAGAATTCAGATACCATTTGCAGCTGAAATAGAGTTGTTTTATGGTTTGAGAGAGAGAGAGAGAGTCCAAGTCATTCTTTAATAAGGCTGAAATAGAAAGGAATTCTTTTATGATTTTATATTTGAACTGCTCATGGGCTAGCTTCCACCCCAATTTAAAAAGAAATATATGGTTATGGGATCAAGTAGACATGTACAGGATTTCTAAAAATGAGGTTCCTACCATGCAGCCAAAAAATACCACTTATCTACTATCATCCAAGCTTGTAATCATGGTTGTTGTCGTTTGAGACGAGGCAAGACAGCAAGGAGAATCTTCTTCCTCGGACCCTGCAAACCCCCATACGTCCTCCATGAGAAAAGCTTATCAAACTTCAATGAAAAATGATCAAATATAACAATGATGCAAAGAGGTATTTCATGATGGCCAGGTGTACTTTTAACTGCTGACATAATAACAGTGCAACACTCGACCTCATTTAAGTACATTCAGACATTTAGGAGTGTAAACAAGCTGAACTTGCCCAGCTAGGCATGGGCTCGGGGCTCCTGAATTAACACTTGAGCTCATGCTCAGGCTTGGCTTACTTTCAACAAAATTTTGATATTATGATCATTGGAGCCCAAACTTAAGTCCATTCTGAGAGACCTATAACTAATACTTGCATTTAATCATTTGCAACATATTAATTATAGATCATATATCTTATATAGTATCTAAACATGGCGATATTAAATGAGCTCAGGCCCACCCAAGACTTGTTTAGCTAAACAAGGGCCAGGCTCCCACACGAACCAAGCTAGTGGGCTCATTTACAGCACTAAGGCTGCACTTGGCATTCCTTATTTTAAGGACTTATCTCCTTTCTATAGTTAAAATGTCCCTATGAATACTGATTTTTTAATTGCAAAAAAGGAGATAAGTCCTTAAAATAAGGAATGTCAAATGCAGCGTAAATGGATTACAGCAACCAATCTACCCAAGGCAAGTAGAAACATAGATAAAGAATCTCTTCAAATACCTTTCAGGCTGTCACTAAAATGTTAACCGATGTTCTTAAATTGGTTAAAATGTCAAACTATGTTAAGAATCTTCCCACCCAACAATTAATTATATATAATCAAAGAATAAACTCAGATCTTAACGTTTAACATCACACATAATTTCCTGCTAAAAGTAAGGTTTGTAGTTTTGCATAGAATTTTGTTGCATACACCTCAACACTGTCAGAGGCAGGTGACTGTTGCATGCAGATTAGGGTTGAATGTTTTGACTGCTGCTCCAAGAGCATGGCTCATAGCTGGGGTCGAGGCATTGTGCTCGCATCATGGACCAAGTAGATGAGGATTTTGGCTCTGGTCTATACTAATTTTAAGAAACATGGGAGATGGACTCCCATCTGTTGTTTTCAACATTTTATGTAGTGAACCTGACAGGGATGAGAACAGTTTTTCTGAAGATGAATGATGAAACAGTACTCTAAATATGAAGCAAAGTGGCATTATACAAATGAGGGGTAGGTATCATACCCAGTTTCCATCCCCAAGAGAAAGCAACGCAAAATTGGATTGTATTAGTATTTCAATAAGGCAAGAAATTTGGTATAAATGATATAAAAATATGGGTTCCACTATGACAATGGAAAAGCATGATACCAGAAAAATTTATAACCAATCAACTGGTATATAAAAGTAGTAACCAATCAGGTGATATTCATCAAAATTGACAGGGGTTTTGATTGGTCAAAGCTCTTCCAGTATCATACCTTTCCAGCATCATAGATTCACCCAAAAAATATAATGAATTGAAAATACATACCATTGGTATCCCCATCTCCTTGAGGTCATTGTCCCCCATCTGCTTCAGTGCAGTCATGTCCACCTGAATATGAGATTGAAAGCACATCTGATATTAGCAAGAAGAAATAACCTTGCCTAAGTAAATTCTATTTTTGCATTGGTTTCTAAGTTCATAGAATGAAAAAGATAATAGAGTTCAATGTTTCACTAATTTGTTTAAGACTTCAGGTGAAAAAATCTGATACCAACATCTAGTAAGAATGACAACAATTTACGTAAAAATCGTCATACTCATAAATGAAAAGGGAAATAGGGTTTGTCACCCTTTACCACCATAAATGGTGACATCATCTCAGGAAGGTTGGATCCCAATAGCTGTTTCCCCACAGTTATGCTTGTTTGTAATTCTATCCTTTCTTTTTTGATAAATAACATCAATTCCATTAAAATAATGAATACATACAAGAAGATCCCCTTAGAGGCGCAAGGAGCAGCCTCTCCAAACAGCAAATACATTAACTACAACAGAGAAAACATGAATGTTGAAATTAAAACAATAGTTACAATTGTGCCCAGAACAATGTTTCCCTATTTATCCCTTGTTTTGCCAAGACATCAGCAAAAGCATTAGCTGATCTCCCAACCCATTGTACTGTTATAGACATATTTCTTGTCAGTCATTTGAATTTCTTTAACTCATTTTTGTAGCCCCAAGTTACATCCTCCGGATTATTTAACCAGTCCACCACTGTCTTAGAGTCTCCTTCAATCAGAAGCTGCTCCACGCCCACTTCTTTTGCAAGAAGCATTCCTTGTATTGCAGCTAGCAGTTCTGCCCGGATAGAGTTCCCAACTCCTAAAGGGCCAGAGTAGATTAAGACAACCTCTCCAGCCTCATTCCTCAGTACACCTTCCAACAATCAGCAAAAGTAAAATGGTTAAATAATTCTAGAGCCTTTAACCAATGTAAAGACCTGGACAAAATGCAGTCCTTTAAGGTTTGACTGCTTTTTCCTTTTTCTTGGAAGATTCTGGCATTCCTTTCTTCCCATACTGTCCATAACAATGCTGCTCGTGAGCATCTCCACATTTTCCTTCCTCTTTTATGGGGCCAAGAGAAGAAAGAAGGGTTAAAGATTGTGCTTACTTCTGCTGGCATATCCCAACTAGACCCAAACAAAGACAGAAGCCAAGCCCAGAGCTCTGCAGTGACACTACAAGATAAAAATAGATGATTACAATCCTCACCATGAGATTTGTAATTCTATCCTTTCTAGTTTTGCCACTCATCCATCTCAACTTGCTTCAAAACTCTGGAAATCTTGGATGCATTGCTCCAGTAAATTCAGAAGGTTCTTGTCCCCTCAGATTATACATGCCTGGCAGCCTAAGCTACACTTGGTCAACTACCCAATTACATACTATAGATGCATTATTTCCACACCCTTACCGTCGATAACAATTCTATTGAAAAACCTTTATCACCCTCTAGTGATTTTATGATCAAATTCAATCATTTATTTCACTCTATTAATCTTGTAAGTCACCATTTGGCTACTATTTCTAGAACTTTTTTTCCCAAATAGCAGTGTTGCATCATTGCATGGGCTCTCCTAAGATGATCTGTCCATTATCAGACACATGGGGTTTTGACATTCTGTCAATTCTTGATGGACATTTCAACATAACATTTTTCTTCATCTACTTTTTATTTTACATAAATAGCTAATATGTACAAGTGATGTTATTCTTTCTAGAAACCATTATTAAGCGAAAAAAAAAGGACAAAGTAATGCTATTCTTTCCATAGACTGATCACAGGCTCATATTTTCTTTCTTGTCAAGTCAGACTCCCAGAGATGCTTCAAATTCCATTTCCTGTGTCCGTGTCCAAGCAACGTTGCCCAAGAGTGGTGTAAACCTAAAAGAAAAAAAATCTTGAAGTAGCTAATCTTCTTCAAGCAATAATCTAGTTCAGCTGGAAAACAATGTGACTGCAAATTAAACAGGCTTCTCAACCCAAGATACCTAAGAGCTGGAAAACTTTGATGGGTGAACAAAATGATTTTACCCACAATTGAGAGAACTTGCTACCTTCATTAATGAACAAATCCAATGGAAATTTATGGATATCATGTTTTAGAGTTAACATTCCTAGTTTTTTCCAACTGCCTCGAATGGGCTGAGACTTCCAGAAATACAAATAATTATAATTGATTGAGTAAAACTAGTGCAATGGACTTCTTCACTTTACCATTCATCAAGGAGAGCTATCTTAGGATTTCACTAGAAGCAGAATTTACCAAACTAAAACAGCATAAATAAGCCTATAAAAAATGTCAATTTACAAGTATTTAGGGGGAACAGGTTACTTACTTCCTCGGCCTGAAAGAGAACAGCATATTTTCCCAGACCCAGTGAATGCAACAGGCTAGCAACACTAGGTGGTTCCTCACCCTACATAAAACATATGAGAATATGCATTAAGGGACCAAACCTCAACACATGAAAATATAAATTACGTAACACCAAAAGGCAGCCCTTGAGGAAAAGTAAAAATTCCTAAAAAAGGTAAAAGTAAAAAATTGTATACTTTTGTTAATGAACCAGGAAATTCCAACAAGCAAAACTCCTTCAGTATTATTAAATATTAGAACATCTAAAAAACCACCAAGCAAAGCATAATGAGATGTAAGCCTATCTAGCTGCAACAGACTCAGAGAACAGAAGGCAACTGGTCTTAGGCAAGTAGTGATAGGTATAAGCACACACCAGGGGCGGAGCCAGGGGGTGGCAGAGGGAAGCCATGATCCCCTATACTTTTAAAATCCCCATAATACCCATTGAAATCCCACTTAGATTTTTTTGAAGATAAATAAAAATAAACTTTATTAAAGAAAATATTAAAGATCAGGGTGATAAGACATCACCCACCAAACAACATACCCACACTTACACCTAAACTCCTTAGGCATAATGTGATCAACCCTTCAAACAAACATGACATCCTAAAAATTCCATCCCAATTACCATTACCAAAACCCAAATTCTATATCACAAAAACCCCTACCACATAGCCCGAAAATAATCAAACAAAAATGCACTTAGATTTTGGCCCCCCTACCTATGTTTACTATCTCCGCCACTGAAGCACACGAGCAACTGGAGGATCAGATTCTCTTGGGTTCCGGTTCTCCCAAATTGAAGCATCTTATTGGTTTGGTGTTGGAACACTCACACAGAAAGTAGAAATTGCAAAACTCAAGATGCAGATCTAGTAAGGATACTTCCATTTTTAGCCTCATCCATGGGCAACACACTAACAGTTAAAGTTAAGATAATACTTTTGATGGCAAAAGAAATAGAGATCTAAAAAAAATACTTTTTATGACAAAAAATTGTCCTTCAAGTTCAAGAGAACAACAACCAATGACCTTTTCCTTAAATATCAATGTTGAAATGAATAACCATCATACAAGTGCAATTGCATTAAAGTACAATTGGCGTTTGCAATGTTACCATTATCAATTCAACACCAAACCTGTGGTTGCCTCCTTCTCTGCCACATAAAATCTAGAACTATTCAAATCACACCTTTTCTTCCAGAAAACTGTGTGCTCATATTAGTAGTGTCTAATCATGGTTTGAGTCTCAAAATTGGATTCTGTTTTTCTTTTTGGGATAAGTTATAATGTGCACTACTTCATCTAGAACATTTATTTGGTGAATGGCACAGATTGCAACTTCAAGAGGTCATAAAAACAAATACAATTCTATAGAAATTTAAAAACTAAGAATAGAACCAAACCCAACTTTTTGATATATAAAAATTTATCATACCAAATGCACCCTCACCAAGTATTTAAAAGGAAAGAAGGAAATAAAAGAAAATGTTGGAATGTTAGCATGCCTTACCATGCATGAACTCTTTTGCATGATGCCATTTGCTGGAGGTAGCCAGGCAACTGGTTTTGCAGCTTCAAGAGGTACACCAGGTTTTGTCATAAGTGGCATACGACCTGTAGGCCTTGAATTGTCAAGAACTTCTTTGCTCATATAAGCGGAGGGTCTTGAAGCATCAATTTGCCTAATTGATGAAGTTTGCCGCAGCTCAGCCATACTCATTGGAGGGGAGAAGCCCCTAGAGTTACCTAAAATTCTATCTGGAGATCTATGTCGCAATCCATCCATACTCCAGGCAGAGTATGATTTCCTCAATGAGTCCATGTGGAGCAAATCATCCGCACTCCTTGTAGGGGGGATCTGCCTCAAAAGGTTAGTGGCCTTTGGTGCAGGCATGCAGTGGTGAGTATCAATTGCCACTGCACAATGTGCTGTCCTTGACAACTTTTCACGAAGGTCCATGTTATTTTGGTCACCATCATCACTTCTAGTTCGCCTAGACATGTGTTTCTGCATGAGCTTGAACCGAAGATCATCTTTACCCACCTGGGCACCTTTCAACCATCAGTGGAACCAGAGTTAGTAATAGAGACAAACAATTTTGAAACAACAGGAGTGCAGTGATATTGCAATCCTCATGAAATGGATAGACTTGTTTGTTACCAGCTAAATCGTTTCTAGTTGGACTCCACCTATTACTATCATTCCTTTGTCTGCAAAACACAATAAACCATCAATTTTGAGATCGAATAGCCACAGTAATACTGTACAGGGAAAATAAACATAAATGCTCAGAACTCGTTCCTTGACCAGAACCATCTACATATACTACATATGTTACAAAAACAAACCCAAGTCCAGGGATACATGAGGACTTTGTTTTCAAAGATTTGATTTGATCCAATGTTGAAGATGGTGTTAGGTAATATCAAAAACCCACTTCAAGTTCTTTTTCCTTTTCTTGTTGACCACAAAGCTTCGGATGAAAAAAACAAAATCTCATAACATTTCTTGAGTGGCAAACGCACCTTTTATTTTTAGGTTGGTTGCCATACAGCATGGGATTGTCAAAATTACTTCCTAGTCTCTCTCTTACGGATCGCTTACTCCCAGAAGATGGAACATAATCAGAACGGACATTATCAGTTACGGGTCCTGGTTTCTTAACGACCTGCAAAAATGCCCAAGCACTCAAATCCTCTCGAAAATAAATAACTTAGTACTTAACTCATTTCCTAAAGCATATAGATTAAAAAGAAAAGAAAAGAAAAAAAAAAAGGTTTTCTTTCCATTTATAGTAGACACCTTCAGTCAAAAAATTCCTAACCTCCTCGAATTTCAAGAGAAAAGTAAAGTTAAACGATTAACTCAACTCAAAGGCCAACAAACAGCGAATGAGCGGACTAACGCAGTTAGGGTTTGATCATCAACAAAAAAATCGAAAAACCCATTAAGAACAGTAATATATACAGCATTATAAAAATAACAACGAAAGGAATAGAAGGAGCTCAGCTTGTGAAACCCTAGTTTCCGTAAAAAAGATGAAGAGAAAGTACACTTAGATACCTGACCAGTACGCCCCAGGGTTATCGTGACCTGGGGCGGGGGCCTCGACATTTAGCTCAGCTGCGGTTGACTTTCGGAAACCCCGAAACACCTGGACAGGTTAATCTACCAAGGCTACAAATGGTCAAATAAGATAAGAAACTTCACCACATCTCAAATCAAACCAGACTAAAACCTAATAAGTCATCATTGGGAAGAAACGAGAAAATAGAAACCAAAAGAAAAACGAAAACGAGAGTCGGGTCTCATGGAGGAGGAGGAGACGAGAGGAGTGAGGAGTCCCACTTTCATATTCTTGGATATATATATTAATGATTTTCAAATAAATTCGTCGGCGACTCCTAATCTCCTATACAGAAAATATTTCCAGCAGAAGAAGAGACCGAGAAAAGAGAGCTAAAAAAATAAACAGAAAACATAGCACAGAGAGAGAAGCGGGAAAGAGGGAGCGAGAGAGACTTGTTTGCGGCGTTGGTCCTCTGCGGTACAACTCGGAGTACGAGAGGGCAATGGGCAAAAGACCCTGGCCGGCGGTGAGGCTTCTGTTTTCTGGTGTCTGAAGGGTGTTAGGGTGGGGTGAAGACCGAGGAGGTTCCGAGGAATGCTCTGCATTAATGAGACTCAAATGCCCCTGAAGTTGATGATTTTGGTACTAAGGATTAAAGGATATTTTTGTCTTTTCAGGCTGAACGATCTTCTGTATTGGTCGCTGGAAGGGTTCCGTGGGGCCAGGTCCTAATCAATCAAACGATCTCTGTTGTCTTCTATGCGAAAAAAAACTCTTTCGGTACCATGTTTCTCCGGTGTCATAGATTTTTCCATATATTGTCAACTGGTAACATCCCTGAACGATGCGCATTGTGTTATGCCACGTGGAAGAATCTGTGACAGGACCAATAGACAAGGACCTTTAAATTGCCACGTGTTCTTTTATCAATTCATATGCTTCAATGCCTTTTACCCCTTTTTAATAAAAAATAATTTGCTTTTTACCCCTATTTTAGCCGCCGACAATTTGGGTGAACGTACTCCGAGCCTGATAATATATTCCAGGCCGGGGTTGGATTGGGCATTCGGGCCAGAAAAAAGGGTGCAATTTTAGTGGGCTTGGGTTTTTAACTCTAAGGGATTAAACAATGGGGTAGCCCATCCCCCATCCCCCAAACCTATAAACCCCCTAACCCAAGTGCAGGTGGGGTTTTATCCCAATTTCCAAGTCTCTGCTATAAGCAGCAGAAGATCTTATCAACCAATAGATTGGCACCTTGCTTTAAGTGAGCTTGGTTGAGAGTTTGGATTTACTCTCATAAAGCGCTCCACACCAACCTCAGAGGCTGTTGGAGCCACACATCTGAAACATCTTCGTCATGGCTGCATGATGCTGTAAAGTTGGTGTGAGGTGTGATGGTAAAATCCGAATTTTTGGGTTAATATATGTTAAAATTTGACCCAAAACTGTGTAAACTCTTCAAATCTAATATCTGACTTGCATCATAGGCTTTCTCGGATAAGTTAATAAAACTATTTTTTTCTAAATATTTAAAACTTAAATGTAAATTATATTTTTAAGCCTAATCTAAATTTATATTCAAAAATTACAAAAATTTATAAATATTAGGGTTCAATTATAACACGGGAAAGACAATTCTAAAATTTTATGACCAATCAACCAGTTATCAATATCATAAATGCAAAACTCTTCCGGTACCATGTCTTTTTGGCATCATAGATTTTTCCTAAAATATTATATATAAAACACATTATATTATATATATCAAATTTCCAGATCAAGTTGGCTTTTGGGGCCCAAAGATTTTAGCAATCAGGCCCGACCTAGCACGCCTGGACAGAAATAATAATCCCTAACAAAAACACAACTAAGTTCCAGGTGGTAGACGGGTAGGGCTGGATCATTTCTAGGCTCCAGCCCCACTCGGAAGACTGGAGGCCTGGGGCTTGCTAACAAAATGACCCATTTTTAAGTGACTCTCAGTAAGTAGAGTGTGAATGGACCAGTTTTGGGTTGAACCCTATCCAAATCAAAATCAATTTGGACAGATTGAATGGATCAATAAGACATTGAATTAAACCAGTCGAGACTTAATGGTGCAAAGTATTTATTGGATTGGATTGGACCTGATTCATCCCTAATGGGTTTATATTAGATTGAGTCGGCTTGAACAATATCAGGTTCATTGATAGAAGATAAGAATACAGGTTTTAATTTTTGGTTGCAAGGCTTTAATTTTTGTGTCAAAGGTGGTCAGGATGTGACCAACGCTTGTTGAACCATTAAGGGTTTCTTTCGAGCCATGAACTAGTGCAAAATGCAGAAAACCCTGGAATAGACAAGAAGAAATCAACTTTTTAACTCGGGCACCCTAATAATCCTTTAAATTCATTATTGGATTAATTCTCACCAGGCCAGAGTTGAATGTACAGAAGCGCATCCCAAGAGGAATAAGAACGAGGGTAGTGGTAAAAGTAAAACAAAGGATACATGACACTACTTTCTGATTTGGATACAATCATACATACAAGTGGGCATATTGCTCAAGTGAATTTAATAAACCGATGGTTACATATTTGCTGTTGCTTCCCTGATTTCTTCCAAGGAGATGGCCTGAAAAGAAAGAAAGAACTTGAGCGATATCGATAAAAGCAATAAACATAAAGAAATTATGAGAGCATTTCAATCCAATGTAAAAAATGCAAAAGTAGATGTCCGATTTGTTCAGTTATTTTTTAATCTGATAACAGGTAAAAATAGAGGAAAGATAAAGAAATTATGAGAGCATTTCAATCCCATATAAAAAATGCATCATCACGAGGATCCATCATAAACCTTCATTGCTATATTAATATTATAAATTTTAATATAAACATTTAAACTCATATGAGAAATTTATTGTGAATGATAAAATCACTTTATAGATAATTCATAGAAGCAAGACTATCAAAGTGAAGAGGAACAACCATAGCAAGAGGGAGGGGATGATACTGCCAAACCTAAGATGCATAGTTGGGGAACTTGGACAGCAGGAAGCAAGAGTGTGACTTGACATTTTCAGAGAATGATGTGGGGCTGAAGTCGAAGAAAAAAAGGGAAATCCATCCTTTTCTCTAGTTTATATGGGCCTTCACGTAGCTAAAGTGAAGGTCACCAATTGGATTTTCAAAAGTCCATCTGAATCCAGTCCAATTGCAGTGGCCTAAAAAGTTACCAGTAAACTCAAGTCTAACAAGTCATTGAGTTGAGCCAAGAGTCCATTAAATTCAGCCCATTAATACAATCAACTCAAGTGATCCCACATGATTAGGATTTAATTTTCCTAATCAAATCTTTGATTGGTTTCTGAATATATGCTGAACAATGGGTGGATCCTCAAGATTTACTACAGATCTTCACGATATTCTGAATAGATTTTTAATTGCAAGTACTTTTATTTCTATGTTTAAGAAAATCGAATATTTTGTAAATCTTAGAAGATCCACCATGTTTCTCTATAAACACTCCACATAATTTCTTGCTTGAGCTACTGAATGAATGAACAAAGAGTTTTCTCTATTGATGTGTTTGGTGCTGACTCCTAGAGAAACCTAGTGGTACTGACTCTAGTAAGGTCTACCTTAGTTTACAATAGGTATTTATCTATTTATTGAATATCTCAACTCAACTCAACTAAACCTTGACCAAACTATATAAGGTCTGCTACATGAATCCTGTTCCATCATCCCATTCCATTTGGTGGATTTTTTTTATGGTAACAGCATTTATTGATTAAGAAAAGAATGAAATATGTACAAGTATCAAGCCATTCTATGACCTGGATGGTCTATTTCACCCATCATATATTTCACTCTATCATTAGTGTTTTCAGATTTGCTTTCCCATTGATCTTTCTTTCTGCATTGCTAAATTATGACCCTAGCTCTTATTTCCTCTCTTATCAGCCTCTTTATCTTTCTTAATTTATTTATAGCTCCTGTCATTAAGTTTTTGCAGTCCTTAAACAACATAGTTGTATCTGTTTCCCTTTGTTTTCCTGATTTTTAAGATGCTTTTTAGTTCTCTTAACCACTTTAGTTGGGTATGCTAAAGCTAATCTCAAATGAGAGCTGAGGGCCTTGTGGTCTATTTTCAGCTTGATATAAATCTTTTCCAGCCACTACTATTGCTTGGTGCAATGACAAAATCTTGGGATGACAAGCATGAGAATGCAACCTCAAGTTCAGTGTGGCCATTTTGTGCAAAAAAAAATGCCAAACATTAGGTCTATATCTAATCTATCCCCCCCAAGACCTTGCATTGCCAGGACCATCATTGGGTGATGGCCCTTTTGATATTGATTATTGTTTGGGGGTCTGACATCAAGAACCAAAACAAAGACATGTGATTTCAAGTGACCATATGTTTAACATTGTATTTGAAATGGGAGAGGGAATAATTGCCAGATTGACACATAGCATGGATGGTTGTATTATAACTTAGGTATTGAAAGAAAGTTTTATGACGACAAATGATGACACATAAACATGATTATCCCTATTGAATTTCATAAACATCTTCATTCTCATCGACAGAAACTCAATGCTAATTTCTAACAGGTCATGGAACCAGTACAAAGTGTTTTCAACCCATCATTGACCAGGATGGTCAGAACGATGATAGAGTGACCTGATCACAACTCTGGCTCATCTCAACTTCTAACCTGCTATATTAAAAAGAATCACTGACTTGGTCAATGCTCATTGACCCTCCTGACCTTTTTAAAAGGTCACCAGTTTTTTGCATCATTTTTTTATTTTTTTTACAATGATGACACCACAGGTTGACCTGTTGACCCAGACAGTTGAACAACTTATTCATTGGCCCAATGGTGAATGCAGTTCAACCTCCAGGCTGGGATTTAATACACTGGTATAAATTCGTTTATGCAATACCATAAGGTTGAATACCTTATAGCAACAAGTTGACAACATGTGGAAGAAAATAGTGTCTACCTAACAATAAATTCACTAACAATTATAGTTTCTGATTTATAGACAAAGGATAAAACTAAAGATATCTGGTCAATAACATAAATTCAATAACAACTTATTTTAGAAGTAATACAATAAAAGGTATGACCATATGAGTAATGCAAAAAAGTTAGTTGGGGTAGAAGAAGAAGATTACCTGCTCCTTTCCAGCAAAATCATTATCAGGTGTTAGGAATAGCATGCAATGGCACTCCTTCCTGCAAAATGACGTTCAACTAAGATATACAGACTAGATGAAATAATTAAACAATAAACTTATGATTCATGATCTAAATGATGTTCAACTAAGATATACATACATACATACACACATATCTGTGTGTCTGTCTATTTTCATTAACCCAAGCAAAATAACCCCCCCCCCCTCCCAAAAGAAAGTCAATTTTGCAGTTTTTAGTATTTGAAGCCTTGTAGCTTCATTTTTGAACAAACCATTCATTCAAAGATAAATCTCATTTCTTCCACTTCCACAGAGAGCTCTTTTCTTATCATTAACCTAACACTGGAGCCTGATCCCTTTGATTAATTGTAAAGAACTGAAGATAACATGGACGAGATGCGAAAAAAAAAAATCAATCGACTGACTAAAAAAGCAAGGTAGAAAACAAATACACAATGACTATATATACTTAACCTAGAGTATCTTGGGAAGTCAAAAAAGAGGCATGTAATCAGGGGAAAAGATGAGTGTTGCTATATAATTACAAATCCATGTCAATCAGCAGCTTTTCTTAAGTAATTGCATTCTTTATCTCTGCATACAATTTTCACTCTTATTGTGTATTGCATAAAGTTGGTAGTTGACTTCTAAGCAGTTCCTAGTACCAGCCACAATATCTTGTTTTCCTTTCTTTTGCTAAGAAGATCTTTCACTCAAAGCTATTTTGATATCTCCAACCTGACCACTCTTCCATCATGTAAAGATTATGCATTATTATTTCTTTCTACCATAAACAATTTTAACATCTCCAGTGCAATCAAAGAGTCTTCTCCTTTGAAGGCAAATACCTAATTGGGCTCTCTCACCCTACATGTGTTTTTTCTTTATAAGACAAACTGTGAAACAACCATACACTTTTTTCCTTTTTTGATTGGCAACTTTAAATTTCATTTAGGAAAAATATAAGTATATAAAACTGCCAAGCAGCCCAGTGATGTGAGAACTATAACCATACCCTTTTTACTTTCATTTTATTTTAGATTTTACATAAGCTAAGTTATAAATTTTACCCACCAATTGAACAGTCAATATAACTCTCCCCAAAATAGCTGATTTCTGTTGACACCCCCTTGGCCAAGGTATCAACAAAGCCATTTGTTGATCTATGAATTCATGAGCATGTGATGTGTAAGGGACTTGTTATTGCTTTAATCTCCATCTCATGTACTACACAATGCCAGCTTCCCATGCTGCCATTTCTCATCCATCCCACTACTACTCTTGAATCCCCCTATAACCAGAGTTATGATATCTAGTGATCTGCCTAATGGCCCTAATCTTAAACTGTGTAGGAGTGCTAATAATTCTGCTCTTGTAGAGTTTCCAAAACCAACCAGTCCTGGGAAAATAGCTTTGATGTGATCATTGCAGTCTCTAATAACCCCTCCAATACCTAAGGGTCCTGGATTATCCAAGCTACAGCCATCAAAATTTAACTTGGAAGCAATATTTTGAGACAAGACCACAGCATGGACCCATTGGGTTTTGACATAAAAGAGTCAACCACCCATTGTTATATTCTTATATCCTCCATGGAGAAGGGATGAAAGGACTTCAAAGTCTTGACTCAATGACAAACTTTTACCACTATCTTTTCCAATATCTCTTCTTTATGCCTTGTCATATTCAGGAAAATTCTTCCTCTCCTCCCCAAAAGACCAAGAGCAGCTGCCCTAGCACATCTCCGTAGTATTCTACTACTCTCCCTATTTTTCTTGTTGGAGAGAGAAAAAAAGTAGGCTTAAAAAAGTAGCTGCCCTTGCCTTATATTTCTTGTCAGGTCTTCTTTTTTGTAATAGCTCACAAGTATTAACCTTTTGATGAAAAACCTCTCAATAGAAAGCCCTTTTTTTATTTATCAAAAAAAAAGACCTCATTTTTTGTGGCACAGGACAATAGGCCCGATACCAAATTTCCTTCATCAAATACAACAAGGAGGTACAGGAGAATAACCTGGAAGGGCAGGGGGATCAAATTCTAGAATCAGAAGTAAACAAGCATCCTGACAAAGGGAAAGGAGCTCCAAAACTAAGGACCAAACATGGGCGTGCACTTTTTTCTGTAGCTTTTTCTCTTTTGCTATTTGTTGGTGGGAATCTGGGATCATGGTTATAAACCTATAACAAGCGTGCATTTTCTAACCTCCTGATTTGTATCTTCTAGTGTTTGGGAACAGTTCTTTGCTCTAGTTGGTCCTAAGTGGATGGTAGACACCTCCACTTGATATAAGAAACTTCTTTTTACCTTCTTTCTTCTCCCCTAGAAGAAAGGAGGGGTAATCCTTTGGAGATGCAGACAAGCAACAATCATATGGACTACTGGGAAGAATAGCAGAATAGGATGTTCTTTGATAGAGATCAAGCCGTGTAAGATGTAAGTGATCTGATAAAAACCAGAATCATCCATTGGGTAAAGGCTAGGAAGGAATCTGCAATGTTCTCCATGGATGATATTCTTAGAAATTGGTTCACAGCGCCCATTTAAGGAACAGAAGCACTTCAGAGTTGACCCCCCCCCCCCGGCATAACATCTTCAAGTGGAGTTTTGATGGAAGTAGCATTGGAAACCCAAGGCTATCAGGAACTGGTGATGCTATTAAAAATCATGAAGAAGATAACCCAGTGGCATATTCAGGCTCAATAGGAGAAGGAAATTAAATGAAAGTAGAATTTTTAGCTGCACTCCAAGAATTAAGCTTGGAAAGACCAATGACATACAGAAATCTGGTTGTGGAAGGAGATTTAATAACAATTATCAGATGGCTAGAAAATGAGTAAATATGATCAAAGAAAACAACATCAGATTGGAGAAAATAGGTTTTCAATGTCAGCAAATATCTTGGAAGCAAATTTTGCATGGGTGCCACAGTTAGCAATCAATCTTGCTGATTCACCAGCCAGAACAGGAAAAACATAGAGTATTTGATTTGAGGAGGTAATCTTTTTGACTAAAGGAGGTACTGCTTATACCTTAGGGCTTTTGGGTAGTTTCTTTGGGGAGAGCAGCAATGGGCTAGTTCTCTTTTTTTTGTAGACTAATCTCTTTATAATTTCTGTATATTACCTTATTTATCAATAAAAATTTACAGTTACTGATAAAATAAAATTCAATCAAATAGTCTTTAGGTAGGCAAAACAACTAATTTGTTATTTCTTTTCATCAGAAAAACCAGCACATGTTACATTAAATAATATTTGATTACAATCTTTATACATAAAACATTCTCAATACTCCCCCTAACTACATAAGGCACTATGCATAAAACAGTTGTCCGTACGCTATTTCCACTCTTAAGTAGTTAAAATTTCCCAAAGTTATTAGTCGTTTTCAAGTGACTCTTAGATAAATTGTTATGAAAACTGCCAGTTATTTTAATGTTGTTATCCACATGTATCAAAATGTGCCTTCCTAACAAGAAACGTGCTCTTCCATTCAAAGCCAAAAAATCACGATGTGAAGCACTTTCACTAACCAGTGTTGCAAATGCACCAGAGCTGAACCAACTGAATTCTTGCCTCACCAAAAAGACATTCACTGTATATGTTTTGTATATAGTGCTTTACACAATGAATACAATACACTACTCTAGCTTTAGTTAAAAAAGCTCTGCTTAAGGTTAAATTTTTTTGTTATGATCACCACTTCCAAGTAGTAAAAAGCAGACAGACCCTCACTAGAGGAAAAAAAAAACCACTTGGAGCTTTACACACACACATATGAATTATATTGAGATAGGATATGCCAAGCACATATATGGTACAGAACCAAAAGAAAGCCAAAACTCTCAAACAGCCATGAAAGGAAGATATGGATGAAGCCATAAAAGATCTCTTCTAGATCTCACCTTGGCTATTCAATATCATTGGCCACTCTTGGCAAGCATTGATAAAGGACAATGCAAGGGGTGGTATCATTTCTGATATAGAAAAGCTGTCAAGATTCCAACATTTCACCTGTATCACCTTTTGTTTGACTTGCCAGAGTTGACCCTAACTTCGATCTTTTTAAATAGCTCACAAATCTTAGAGTTACAAAGAAGAGAAAATGCTTCCACTTTTTGGATTTTTCCTCCTAAAAGTCCCAAATAAACAAAATATCATGTCATCGTTTTGACCATGAAATATCTTTCCAATGTTTAATTGTCCTAAGTTCCTCAATTAGTATCCACCAAAGTTTTGATCTCCTGATCCATAGGAAGCAACCCTAGTACATAAGTAGAAAAAGATTGGGACAGGTGAAAACCACTAAAAGTCATGGAAAAGTACCATTATAGCTAGTATGTTAAAGAAGTTTTGAAGAGAGAATCTTATATGTAACAGTACAACTCTCTTTATTAATCATGACCGGAACAGACAAACAACTATCCTCAAATATCATCCCTCCCCCCCCCMCCCAAGACCCACAATACACTGAACAAGGCAAATTTGTCCATAAGAATCTTTCCCTTCTTCATTCCTGTTTGCCAGTGTCCAAATGGCAAGTCTGGTTCTGTTTTTTGTGTAAACTTGAGTGAATTTGCAAAGTCGTGGATGGAACAGTCCAAGTGTCTCAGTCTGACTAGGTTTAAAATGCCCAAAAAAAAAATCCAGTACTGTTTTTCTTTTTTCCAATCCATGAATGCAAACGAATCTCCTATATCTGATCCCTACCTAACATTCATGCATTCTACGAAGTTAATTAATAAGGGCTGCATGGTAAAATAACTTTATCTTCATAACTAATAGATGCTTTCCACTAGGACTGTCACCCAAAAAGGAAATCTCTAGGATTATATAGAAGAAGATACGTATACCTTTCCCTCATTGGAACACATGGACAGTTCCAAAACCCCTGCCCTGCCTCTGCAGCTTTGTCATCATAATGCCTGAAACATGAAAGGTTAGAGGTTGACATGTGAATATACAACAAAATCAATACTGGATACAATGCAACACCTATTTTCAGCAGTCAGGAACTAATTCTGTTCAAATAGGATTGGTTAGAATATTTACCTACAAGGGCAAAGTGGTGCGCCAAGTGAATCTTTATGATCTGCCAATCCCTGTGTAAGTTCCACAATAATAAGCAATCATATTCAGTTGCATCTTCAATGGATGTGGGAAAAGAAACATTGATGAATACAAATTTTAAAATACAGTTTGTAGGTCAAATAATACACTAAATCACTTTATGGAAGAAACTCATTCAATCTTATTCCTTGTTTAGTGGTAAGAGTTACAAGTAACTCCTATTCCATTAGCCAGCTAAGTAGGTCATGATATTGCATGTGTATAACTATACCTACATTGATCATTCAACAAGTTCCCCAGTGGTATAGTTGTTAAAAAATTGCCATTTTATTGAGACAAAAAAGCCACTTATGTCAATTAGAAAGACCAAATATCTCCTGAGCACCCATTAAATGGAAACTCACAAGCAATTAACATCATAGTTGTTGGAGAAAATTTCTAGGTTCTGAATGCATTAATTTACTTAAGCATGAACAATTCTACACAAAAAAAAAAATACTGAAAAACTATTTAAAATAGACAGAATGTTTAGAGTCGATGCATGTTAAGTCATGGCTCTTCAATGCACCACCAATCAAAACTTACATACCTTGATAACAACAGAAGTGACTCCTTTATCAACACAGAAATATGTTCCTGATTTACGAGCATACTGCTCTGAGAACTTCCTCATTATTTCAACAGACTTCTCTGAAGGCTCCACTGCCAAAAAAACGAAAAAGAGAAACATCATGATGTAACTACGTTAAAAAGGCAATAGATCCACCATAATAACAAGGATTCAACAGAATCTCAATTATTAGATCTTGAAAAACTTGTGATTAGGTAAACCTATAAATTTACGAAAGCTACAGACTTCCATGTAACAAAATTATACAAGAGGAACATATTTTTACAGGCATTTATCCACATGTCTACCGATGCAAAAAACTGCTTGTTCTTAATTACTACACATGCTTACTGCATTTTCAATGTCTTAGAAAAAGAAATTCTGTAAATCCATAAGTATTATTATCTCCTCCAGCTTCAATGACCATTAGACAGGAAGGCCTTTGAGGTCCTATAAGCTGGACTTTGTGTAGATTCTTTTTCTTTTTTTTTTTTTCCTTCCATTATTACTCCATATCAAGATTTGCAGAATTTTCTTCATTTAAGGTCCATTCGAAGTCTCTTTAGGAAATATGTTGGGCTTCTGTCCTTGTATGTTGTTAATTCTTTAAACAAACCAGCACTGCCAATTTGCATTCAGTTTTATTTTAAAAGATTAATGTTTTATGGTTCTTCCTAAAATCCTATTGTAATTCCTCTAATTTGCCCCTTTTATTTCATTTGGTTCCATTTCTTGCAGAATTCTACAGTTTATATAAGTTTACAAGACTTGTTTTTTCTTTTTCGCATATAAAATAATCCGCGAATAGAATCAATTCAAAATCTATGAAAGCTAAAAGAAAATCATCCTGTCTCCACGTGATTCCGAACTTCATCATCTTCTTTCCTTCTTTTTTCCCCTTTCATGTGCTCAACGGAAAAATGGTTAGCTATTGCCTATTGCATATTTGCATTTACCTATGGACTCTGACACAAAGTCGTGTAGCTAGATTTGAATGAGAAAAAATTGATGCAGGGGAGCAAAGAGTAATTCGAATCGATAAAAAAAAAAAAAAAGGAAAAGTCAGTGTATGATGGAACCGATTTGGTGCAAATTAGACGCCTCTAAAGAAATCATTGATTGGTTCTTTACCTTTCGCTTTCGCCCGTATTACATGGCGGGAGCGATTTGGTGGTGGAGCTGCGAAGCTTGGGACTCCCACGCTGTAAAACGACGCCTGAACGGTCATGGCGACTTCAACCGAAACTCTCTCTCTGGTATTCTACTCCGCTGGCTCTGTGCGTGGACCTTCAGGCAACAACAAATTAAGAAAGGAATATTTTGAGGACACGGCACGCGCACCACCCGTTGAGGAAGCAGCGATAACAGTGTGAGAAAATTTAGGGGCCTATCACCACTGCTTTCGCCCAAAAGAATTGCTAGAAAAATCTACCGTATTATCCATCCTTGGAAATATCTGATTAGATTTATTATTACCCTCCAACAAAATGGTAGGGGCTTCAGAGTTCAGATCTGCTACGGTGCTACCAACAACGCGCTCCCAACATGTTTCAACCGGCCAGCCGGAGACCGGATATGCCTGTGAGGTGCCCATTTGTGAGGAGCAAATCCTGTCACCTACAGCCGTTGCCGCATATTAATATAAGATTGGGATTTGCTCCTCACAGATTGCGCCTCCCATTCACCTCATAAATGGGCGCCTCACAGGCACATCCACCGTGCATTGAAAACATCTCTCGTGAATAATAACTAATAAGCACAGGAGATGTTCCCAATGCATGGTAGAATATGCGTATGAGGTGCCTATGAGGAACATATCCGGTCTCCATCCCGCCTTGTATTAGCAACATGCGCCTCCCACTCACCTCACAACCATATCCCACCTTGTAGTAGGAACATCCTCATGGATAATAAATATAAATATAGGAGATATTCCCAATGTGGGACAATGACATGTGAGGTCGATGTGAGGCATATTCTATGAGGGGCAGATTTGGGCTCATAAATATATTGGAAACAAGTCTGAATATGCTCTTCAATGCTCCTTACACCGACCTCGGTCATAGCATATCCTCGCCATGTTTCCAATACACTCTGGGATGTAGTTGTGAGGTTAGTGTGAGGAGAAGATCCCAATTCATTAGAAACAATACATTGCTAATATGATCAAACATTACTCAACTCCAATTCTGATCCATTATCAATAATGTCCCAACTAGTTAAGGGAAAAATCTTGATTAGTACCTGTACTCTAGCCCTAATGTCATTTTGGTTCTTGAACTTTAAAACATGACAATTTAGTACCCAAACTTTCAAAACGTGTTAATTTATTACCTACCATTAACCATCAATTAAGTGGCATTTGAAAAGACACAAATGCCCATTCAAGTGTCATCTAATTCTATTTATCAACCATCCAATCGTTAACAAAAAATGAACAACCCCAAATCCTTGCCTTTTCTATTTAAGAAAATTGGGATCACCAAAATGCCCATTGAGATGTAATCCCCAACTTTCTTGAATAAAAGAGGCAAGGATTTTGGATTGTTTATTTTTTCGTTAACATTTGGATGGTTGATAAATAGAATAAGATGATACTCGAAGGGCATTTGTGTCTTTTCAAATGCCACTTAATTGTTGGTTAACGACTGGTACTAGATTGGCATGTTTTGAAAGTTCAGATACTGAATTATTGCAATGATCTATTGAAACAATATTGAAAGCGTTTTAGTGGTAGTAGATTCCTATCCACCCATCTTAGTGTGGAATTGAGATATTGAATTATTTATGGGAGATCACACTCTTGAGTTTGATCCACTCCAACCCAAACTTTTGTATTGTTACACTTGATTCTGATTGGACTTGGGGCCTTCGGTAGCCGTAGCTTAAGCCCATCCGATTTTTTCTCATATATTTTATCTTATGTATGCTCCATACATTATATTGTTTTTATATAATTATTTTGGATGCACAAAAAGAAACACATGTAAAAATACATATTTATTCTTTCCTTTTTTCTAACTATATATATATATAGCAAGACAGTCCATATCACCTGGCTTCTCCTTGCTCCATTATCCCAATCATGCATTCTCCTTGACTCTCTCTCCTCCCCCTTTCCACCACTCTCAATTTGTGATCTCAGCACCCTCTCTCTTCATTCCTCTCCCTTCCCATTGGGTTTTCTCTCTCTCCCCTCACAACCACGTTTCTCACTTTCTATAACAACCTAACTTCTCTCCTTAATTAACTTAATGTATGTTTTATCCTTTCCTTCACTTCTATCTCTAATTCCCCTATATTTTCTCCACTTTCCCATAAAAATAGGGCCATAATTTATTAAGATTTGGTTTTCCAAATCAAACAATGTTTATATCTATAGACGTGATTTCAAGCAAAGAGAGGTGGGAATAAGGGGAATTTGATGTTGCCTATTTATTCATGGAATCTTCCAATATCGTTAAATAATTTATTATTAAATAATCCATTAGTTATGAAAAATATTACAAATTTTTTGAAAATATTCTACAAAAAATTATGAAATAATTATTTCAGAAATAATCCATTATTTAACAAATATTAAATAATTTAATAATCTACCAAAAATTAATAAACAATCCATTATTTAATAATTTTTGGTTATTAATAAATGTTTAAAATTTCAACATGTAGAATAATTTACATTAATCATTGCAATTTAATAAATTTGTATTAGTTTCTTACAATAATAATTTATTAATAAAATATATTATTAATTAGTGTATTTACTAATTTATATAAATTCAATAATTATAGTTAGCAATGATAAAATAATTTAGGGAAACTCTTTAACTAATAATTCATAAATATTTTTTAAATAAGTAATTAAAGAATTACTAAATTAATGTATGAAAAAATATTCTCCAAAACTATTTAAATAATATTTAATTATTATTATTATTCAACTAAATAATTATTAAAAATTTAGGAAAATTAAATTAGGAAATTAATCTATCAGAAACAATTTCATAATTATTTAAATAACAATATATTATTATTATTATTACAATAAATAATTATTAAATAATTTAGGAAAATTATTAAGTCTATCCATACTGATCTAGACCACTTGGTTGACTTCCGACTATACCTAGTTTTACATTAATTAACAATAAATGGTTTACTTTTAATTAGACCTGTTCATGGGCCGGCCCGACTAGGCCCAACCCCCGAACGAGCTTGCACATAGTTATTAGCCCGCATGCCTAAAAGCTCGAGCCCAACTGTTTTGCGGGTCAGGCTCGGGATTTGTCACAAAAGCCCGACCCGACTTTTATATATATATATATATCTTTTAAACCCTAAATTCCTAAACCGAACCCTTCTCATATTTCGTTCTTTCTCACTCTCTACTCTAACCGACACCACCAATGACCGATGGTAAAGATGGGTTGTAGTTCCAGTGAATAAAGGAACTCAAAACGGGAAGATCATTGCAAGAACGAAAGACTCTTAGAAAGTGTAACTTGTCCATGATGGCAAAGCAGAGGATGAAAGGAATAGAGAAAGCAAAAGTAAGAGAAACAACACCGGTCCTAGTGTAATATTCAAACTTCTGAACCTGCGTAATAGCTAAAGCCAGAAGAATTCAAAATGTAGGAACTGGGTAAGAGAAAAAGCTAGAAGAAAAAGAAGGAAACTGCCTAGAAAATCTAAGCAGGAAACAAAACAAGAGAGTTTCTGCAGGTCTCACAGAAATAGGTTTCTCGAAAGAGAGTAAAATTGTTTGTCGTTTGAGTGTTGACGAGTGGAGTGACCAAGTCCTCTCTTCTCTCTTTTCTCGTTATCTTCCCCCCTCCCTCTCTTGTTATCTTCCTCTCTCTCATAGAAGTCGAACAGATTTCTCTTTGTTCCTCTCTGTCTCTGTCTCTCTCTCGGTCTCTCTCTCTCTCTATTCTGTAAGTCGATTCCTCTCTCCCTATCTCTCTCGGGCTTCGGGCTTTTTATGAGGGTCGAACTAGGGCCCAAGTTGTAGAATCGTTGGTCGGGCTGGGCTTGGGCTCGGGCCTACAAAAATTATGTTAAAAGCAATGTAGTTTACCTTAATTACATTAATTTACTATAATTACATTTACTTGGATTAATAGTAAATAATTTAGGCTTAAAAAGTAAATAATTTACATTAATTTATTATTATTGTAAATAATTAATTTACTATACATTACTGCTAATCAATAGCAATTTCAATAATTTGTTAGAAATTATCATAAAATATTGTAATTTATTGTTATTTAATGTACTATTAGTTAATTAGTTATAGAAAATTATTAGAATTGTAGGGATGACAATTTTCCCTATAAAATTGGGGCCCTACTCTGCCCTACCTAGAATGGGGCATGTTTTCTCAAATCTTAAACAGGGACAAGGTAGAAACTTGGTGGGGATAAGGAAAATATTTTTTCCTAGAATCCGATGGTAAATTAGTAAAATATATGTAGATTTAATATTGATTTTTTAAAATATCACTAAGTTTTCATCGTATTCTTATAATCCTAGAATCCCATAATTTCATTTATAAAATACCCCCAAATTGTCATAATCCAATTCCTAAAATACCCTAAAATTCCCATAAATCCTATTTGTAGAATATCCATAAATTAGATTTTTTTAGGTGGTTGCCTCAAGATGGGGAAAATTTGGGGATTCCCCATCCCCAATGAAGAATGGGTGCCTTGCCCCGAACCTACCCTGCCACTGGGGTCGGGGCAGGAATGGAGTAGAGTGTCTTGACTTATGGGGGTGAGGAACAAGGAGGGGTGCCCCATCCCATCCATCACATAGGCCCCGTTAGTAATAATATATGTATGCATATATTTTGTAATGATATTTTCATATATAATTCTTTTATTTTATTTCTAAATTGTACTAAAAGCCCATATAAAAAAGTAGAGGTGCAAAACATGGGTAAGACTCGTAAGAGGCAATCTGCCCAAACTTGACTAGACCTGTTTGAGTCCAGTCATGATTGTGTTGGCAAAATGCTTTCTCCCGGTGTGTTTGGTTGTAGTGAAAATTTATTTGCATTAATACAAAATTATCATAGTGCAAATGATTTGGGTGCAAATTTTGATTTATTTTTGTTTCAAAGTTTACATTATGTTGTTTGGTTGCCACTTGCCATAATGAAGTAAAATAAGGCCTAAAGCAGAACAAAGTAAAATCCAAAATAAAATTAAATCAGAATTTGCATTCTTTTCATTTGCACACCCATGCATTTATACTAATGCAAATAAAATTATGGGAAAATTCCCAATCAGTACCCTATACTTTGCCCGAGTGACAATTTGGTCTCCAAACTTTAAAATGTGACAATTTAGTATCCGAACTTTCAAAATGTGACAATCCAGTACTCGAACTTTCAAAATGTGACAATCCAGTACCTGTCGTTAACTAGTCCGTTAATCAAC